ATGCACTCACAACCCTAAAACTAAAATTAAAAATAAGATCATAGAAAGTACATTAGCGGACAAGATTGTGCGACCGTGTATTACACAGTCGCTACACCGTAACAAGGTGGCAGGATAGTAATGCAAATAAATTTATTTATTAGGTTTTGCTATATTAATAAGGTATCACTATATTAGATAGAAAAAACCTAGGGCTTTAGATATTAGAGGCTCTGCCGCAACTAAAACAGTTAAATACAGTTTCATTTTTAAACAGAAGTGTTCGTTTGCCTTGGTAAGGCTTTAGTACTTTTAAGTAGCTTGTGCCCCAGCGCTTCGGCGTCACAGCGCAGACGCTGCGCAGAACGTCTTCAACGATGCGATTCACGCGCTCAGTTTGACCATCGGTCTGCGGATGGTCCGCTGTTGACATAGTCAACTTAGTGCCCAGCGCCCTGAAGAGTGTAGATTAAAACTTCCCAGTGAAGCGTGGGTCTCGGTCAGATACAATTGACTCCGGGAGTCCATGTTGTCGAAAGACATAATCCACAAACAGCGTCGCTTGACCCACCCCTTCGATGGTGTCCGGCGATGGCCAGCAACAACCTCAGATCGGTTTTTGACGTTCTGCTTTATAACCGTAGAAATACGGGGGAATGTGATAGCTCAATTTTGTGAAGAAGAGCCTGCCGTGGAACCATTTAACAGCGTACTAGTAGAAAAAAATTATGAAGGAGCATTTGGCACTATCTCTGACAAGAACGAGTATAACCAAGCTATGAGTCATCCTTTCTCGCCAGAATGAACCATCTTGCTCAAACAGTCGACAAAGACCACCACACACGTGTTGCCCGCCAAGTCCATCGGCAGGCCAAACACAAAGTTCATACTCATGGACTGCCAACACCCGGAGGATACCGGTAAACTGGCCAGCGGCGCTGCCGCATTCGGAGAGGGTTTCACCCTCTGGCACGTCTCACACGTGAGCACATATGTGCTCGTCCATTTGGCAAGCTTGGGCCACCAGTAGGGGCAACTCACAGAGCTGTACGAATTCTCACGGCCGAGATGACGACTGAGTGGGGTGTCATGTGCCTCACGGTATTTCAAATCCGCATCGTGAAGAGCCACAATTGGTGGCGTATACGTCGAATCGATGATAATACAGCAACCCGTTATTCAATGAATATCGGTGTAACCGTGCGCGCCATCACGCCGACAATTTCTTGTCCGAGTTTCCAAGCTCCTTGCTCCCGAGAGCCTGTAGCAGCGCTACACACATACTGTCACCCGCGTATGCGGCGCGGATAAAATCCGTCACTGACGACGTCACCGTCGTGACATGGGTAAGCTTATAATCATAATAATATGGTCTGCGTGTAACACACTAGCCAAAGCATTCTGCTTTCCCGGCTTATACTTCACCTCAAAGTTATATTCTGCGAAGAAAGAAAGCCACCTGGTCATCCTCGGCGAGAGGTGGGGCGACTGAGTCGCAGTGCGTAATGACACATGATCTGTGCAGATCACAAACGGCTTTGAGCCAAGTAGGTGCACCCTGAACTCGACAAGTGCATGCTTCTTCGCTAGTAAAATCTTGTCGTGGACTGAGAAGTTTTTCTTTAAAGCCTTTAGTTGACGAGATTCGAACGCGATCACCCGATATTGCCCCTCGGCGTCTGTTTGCAGCAGTATACAGCCGATGACAAAGTTCGAAGCGTCGCAGACGATAAATAGAAGGACGATCAGGGTCTGGCACCACCAGTATAAGTGCATGAGGATGACTGTATCTGACCCTGTCAAAAGCCTCCCAATGCTTGGTGTCTCAACACCATTCTGTACCCTATTAAGGATATTCGATAATGGCCGTGCCATTTCCGCATAATTTGCACTATACTTGTGCAAGTAGTTGGCAAGGCCAAGCTGCTTGCGCGAATCCTTTTGGTTCTTTAAAAGCGGCCAGTCCATAATGCCTTGACCTTAGCTGATTCCGCCTGAAGGCCATGCTTACCAATAAAGCACCTTTGAAAGGGGAACTCTTCAGTGCCAAAGATGCACTTGTCTGCATTCGCATACAGCTTATTCGTGCGCATGCACTCGAGCTCTGATTTCAAATAGCCGATGTGATTTTCCTCGTCTGTCCTCCCGTGTCCCGCACGACGGGGACGAAGAGGTCTTTGAAGTATGTTTGTGTATACGCCCGGTGGGGCCTGAACAATTGGGTCACAAGGCGATCAAATGTTGCTGTAGCATTTGACAGCCCTTGGGGCATCACCAGCTACTCCAAGGCATCCCGCTCGGAGTACCCACCACTGTCAGCGTAATATCACTTGCAATCATGAGCAATTGGTAATACCCATCGAACAAGTAGAGTGCACTGTGCTTTTTATGGCCAACCATATTGTTCTGGCGTATACCCTTTCCAGAATCGGTGTCTTTGCTGGATTGAAGGCAGCGTTTAGCTAATTGTAAGCGTGAACAATACGCAACTAGCCGTTCAGCTTCCGGACAAGAA